TAAGTCCCTCTCCGAGAGTGTTGCATTCAGATCTCCTCCTAGAGTGCCTGTACAGACTGCCCCGTCAGACTCGTCGCAAGACATGTCCTCCTTCCTGCCCAGTCCATAGATGGCTTCACTGATCTCAGGTGATCGGTTACATGTAGCTGGGCTACAGGGCCATAGGACCCAAAGTACAGTGGTCTGAGCATGAGGACCTACATAGCCATTTCCCTCAGAAGGCACTCCCAGCTCCCATGGTCCATGTGGGACCAAGGATTCACTTCAAAACACGGTACATTCACTGTCACGAGCTGCTCATAACTGTAGTGGCAACAGGTACCAAGTTGCTATATTTTAATGGAGTTTGAGAAGATCACAAAACAAAACTGAAAGAACTGTGAGGTGACTGATTTGGTACATAACATGTGAATAGAATTTTTAAGAGTTGGCAGGAAACTAAAAGGCCATCTGGTCCAACCCCATTCCTTGTGCAGCGACCCAGGTCCCACAGCCCGTAATTGGCACAATCAGACTGAGAGTCCAGGAGTCCTGACTCCTAGTCAATGCTTTCTGTACACGACAGAGTGAGCGTTAGTTCTTAAGATTCCAGTTACTGCCCTGACAGTTTGGCTCAGCAGTTAGAGCATCGGCCTGTGGAATGAAGTGTCACGGGTTCGATTCCTGGTCTGCACATTTGATCCTCAGCCCTGGTGGGGTTGTGCAGGAGGCAACCATCAATGTGTCTCTTTCACATTGATGTTTCTCTCTCTCTCCCCCACTCCCACCCTAACACTCTGTCTAAAAAACATCAATGGAAAAATATCCTCGGGTGAGGATTAACCAAAAAAAAAGATGGATTCCAGTTACTAATGACGATAGAAGACCTGACTGAAATATACGTAACTTCGTAACAAGAACTCTAGGACATTTTAAAGGCAAAATGCATATTACATCCAGCTGACCACGCAATAAAGATGAGCAATGATGGGCATTTTGGGCAAGGTCCACTCTACCGTAGCCAGAGAAACATGATTTGAAATGCTCTACCTTCTCGATGCCTTTAGGAAAAGAAATGGATCTCTCCCTACGTCTTCTTGAAAATTCTAAGACTCTAAGGCACAAAAAGGTCATATGACAATTGCATCATTTGGATTTGCTTGTTTGGCAAAGAGATTTGGACAAATCTTGTGGGAACACTGGCCAAGAGTCTCCTCCTTTGTTTCACTTACAGAAGCCAAGTTTAGCTTCTTTACAGGCCTTTTCTTGATCCACAAGTTCACATGTAATACAAATAAAAACTGTAAAATTCTTTTTCATCCATATGTGCTATAAGTGTCACTCCAATTCTGAAACTAGACACTATTGCATTTTACCATTTTAAGAAAAATGTGCTGGATATTTGACAAAATGTTCTTTGCACTCTGCTGTCAGAAAAGCAAACACTGGCTTTTTTGTGGCAAGCTAGACGAACGTATTTTAAAAGTATTATGTCCTTCTCGACAGTGAGATGGTGGTAGAGTGGGTGGAAGTTACACGCACCTCCTCCCAGGACAGTATCAGAGTCGTGACTAAAGTACTGAAAATTCAATCTCAATAACTACCTGAAGACTAGCTGAACCACATGTCTTATAACTAAGGATATAAAGAGGAACCTGCATCAGATTGGCAGGAAGGGCAGAGTCACAAAAGGGGCTAGGCCCGCACCCACGTGCTGTGGTTGAGAGTCCAGAGAAATACCTTGGCGGAGGAGGTCCCTGCAGAGGAGCCAGAGGCCTGAGCCCCATGCCAGGATCCCTAGCCAGAGCACTAACACCAGGAAAAAAGGCCACCCGACATCTGGCTGTGAAAATCAGCAGGATTCCCCGCCTGCCCTGGTGAGAAGAGTACTGCTCTCTTAAAGGGCCAGTACACAGACTCTCCATCATGACACTCACCCAGGGCTCTTGCAAAGGAGACAGCCGCTAGGAGTGAACCAGAGTCATACAGGGGAAGACTGAGTGGTGCGGCTGCAGGTATGGGTTTGAGTGACAGCAGCAAGTGTCCCTGTGTTAGGTCTCTCTCCCATGCCACCCAGGGAAGCCACCTTTCCCGAGTGGAGCATTCCCCTCCATACATCAGCCTGGGGAGTGGCAGACAGCCCCCTCCTGCCAATCCCAGTGGCCCTACCACACCAGGATTGTACCCAGTGGAGAGGCCTAGTGGGAACTCAGCCTGGGCCACAGTACAGGCCTTACCGAGCTCTTGAGGAAGTTCAGGCAGGCTTGAGGAGTGCCAGAATCGCAAGTGGAGAGGCTGAGCTTGGTGGCTGTGGGGATGGCCATCTTCACCCGAGTGCCGCCCCCACCACTTCCCTGTGGTATCAGCCTGGGGACTGACACTAACCCTCCTCCCTGCTGACTACTGGAAGTCCTGCCCTGCCAGGATTGCACCTGGTGGTGAGTCTGTCTCTGCCTCCAGCCTGGACCTGCAGTGTAGACTACGGAGCTCTCAAGGAAGCGCGGGCAAACTGGAGGAGGGCCAGAGTTACACAGGGAGGCGGAGCTGTTGGGCAGAGCCATTTTTCCTCACATGCCTGATCAGTGTCACTGTCCTCGAGTGGAGCCTTCCCTCTTCATGGCCAAGTCTTGGTTTGTTTTAGCCTGGTGAACTCTGCAGGCCCCACCCCACCTCAAAGGTCCACGAATCCAAGGTGGGTGGCAACTGGCCTTGGTGTTATCAACCTGGTGAACACTGCTTCCCCTACGCAGTGACTCGCTGCGAACCCATCTCACACAGCGTGCACACTGCCAGAGGTTCTTCCAAACAGGCAGCCAGCGGCAAAGCAGATCTCAGGGTGATCTGGACCTCCTGCTGACCTGTCCCTGGACTCAGTGCTGGTGGAACTTGGGCTTGGTACACAGCTTGGACCCAGCAGAGGCAGTCATAAACTAGATCACTTGGTAGATCCAGACAGGTAGCCCAGGGCCAGCTACAGGCAGCATCGACACTGACCTGTACCAGAGTCCTTCCCAGGAGGCCCCAGAACCAACACAGTAGTGGAAGGCCTTGGACCACATCAAAACACAACCCAATTAGCTCCACAAGCAGCACACCCAAAGGGAGATCTCTGCAGGCACCAGACCCCAGTGGGGAGAATTCTGCTTCGTGAGGTCAGCCCTCCCACAGCAGTTCATACACTGATTGCAGTCAACCCTAGACACGAACGATCCAACAGCAATAAAGACTCAACTACAACAGGAGGGATCACATAACCCACACAAGGGACATTCCTGAAGCACCTAAAGCAGGTGATCAGAGAGACTGTGCCATTAAAGCCCCAAAAGACATTTACTACATTAGGCCACCCTACCAAGACTGAAAGGCACAGCAAATCTCCCTAATACAGAGAGGCAGCCAAAATGGGGAGAAAAAGAAAGATGCCCCAAATGAAATGTTTTAAACCACTAAATTTGTGATAATTTGTTACAGAAACATAAAAACCAACATTCAAGGCTTTTAAACTGTTCTCTCCAGGTAGTGCCTAGAGTCAGGAGTGGGGGGCTTTAGTAAAAAGATGCTTTAACTATTTTTTAAAAACCACCGGTGCAGCAGAAAGAGTTTGAGGTCAGACAGAGCGTGATCCAGTCTGTTTACCAGCCACATGATCTTCCCACACTATTTAACCTCAGGGCAATGGCCATGACAGTACCTGGGCCAGAGGACGCAGTCAGTAAACATCAGCTGCGCTTCCAGCCTCCTTTCTTCTCCAAAGTCTTCTCTAAGGATTAGGAACAAGCACAGAATTTCCTACCCCATTCTCCTCCCCTACAAATACAGAAATGAAGAGGAGCAGAATCCCACCTCCCCCAGTCCACCTCCATTCACTCACTCATTTATTCAATAAGTCTTTACTGCATAGTCAGGGCTAAGTTAGTGAGCAAAACAGACTGGTCTCTATCCTCATGAAGCTTACATTCCAATAAAATAGACAACATTAATTAATCAGTCAGGCAAACAAATATACCATCCCATCAGCAACAGCTACAAGGGAGAGGTGCACAGGCGATACAAGTGACAGTGTTGGAGGGTGAGAAGTGATCTAGCTGGGAAGTTACAGAAGGCTTTGTAGAAAAACATGAGTGAGCTGAAGACTGATTAGGCATTAACTAGATGATCGAGGGAAGAGAACTCCAGGCAGATATTCCCTCCTACGGTGGGAAAGAGCACAAGATCGAAGAAGGCCAGCACAGCTGAGAGGCAGAGAAAATGATGAAAAAGGGAAGAAAGGAAAAAAAAAAAAATGACTCCCAGGTTCAGTTGGGTGAGTAATGGTGCTATTCCCAGAAAACAATGGGGAGATCACGAGGCCAATTTTGGATGTGTGGAGCTTAGGGGACCTTTAGAACAGCGAGGCAGAGCTATCGCCTGGGCATTTGGATATACAAGACATGTAAGTCTGGAGTTTATAGGTCACCTCTGAGCTACAGATGTAAACATGGCAGGTACATGTGAGTAAACAGTGACTGAAGCAGGGAAGGAGGAAGTGGTCAACAGTGTCAAAGTTACTGCATGGCTCCATAAGATGCCCCCTGACTGACAGGAGCCTGCTCACCTAGATGAGACCATACTGGAGAGGTCTGATATCTGAGAGGTAGTGCCTATTAGATATTCTTCCAGAAGGCTCTGGAAAGTGATCCAGATATTAAAGGCTCAACTGCTACCCTCTTCTTAGGGAAAAACTAACAGAAGAGCAGACATCCAAAGCCCTTGCTATTGTATCCAAAGACCTGGCCTCGGAACTGGCTCGAACGGGGATACGGAAAGAGCAGATACCAGCCTGGGCACTCTGTCCCAAGCCTGGTTAAATATGTATAGTTTTAAAACTAGGGCACTACCTGAGATCTGACACCAAGGCGCAAGGCAGGGGGACACCTTCCTTCCCACGGCACCCAGCTGGCGAGGTGCCTGGCCTGCGGCTCCCAGCTGCAGCAGCAGCAGAGTTTTCCCACCCTTCCACCCCCAGCACTGAACCCACTTACCTGGTAAGATTCCTGAACCCTGGACTTTGACTCTCTCCTTTTCCTGCTCGTCTGCCCGCTCTGAGTTCTCAACTACCTGATCCAACTCCTCACTCAGCTAAAGGAAGAAACAAAGAGGGCAAACAGGTCAGCTACATCAGCCTTGCTTTTCCAGACGAGAATAAGAAAGCAGAAGCTGCTTCTCACTTAATCGTCACCAAAAAAAACCCAAAAAATCACATGGTGTAGGGTATTATACCAATTCTACACAGAGGGACACAAGCTCAGAAAACTCAAGTCACTTCCTATATTTTTGTTTCCTAGAAGTTGCTGTAACAAACACCACAAACTGGGTGGCTTAAAACAAAAGGTATTCCCTCAGAGATCTGGCAGGGTTGTTCCTTCCGAGGACTGTGAGGGAGACTCTTTTCCATGCCTCTCCCCTAGCCTCTGATAATGGCCAGCAATCCTTGGTGTTCCTGGGCTTGTAGATCCCCTGAGCTCCAATCTCTGCCTCCATCTTCGCATGCAGTCTGTTTCTTCCATGGTCATCTTTTTATAAGGATACCATGCACACTGGATGTGGGCCCACCTTACTCCAATATGACCTCATCTTAGCTAATCACATCTACAATGACCCTATTTCCTAATAAGGTCACATTCTAAGGTACCGGAGGTTAAGACTTCAACATTTATATATGTATGTATGTATGTATGTGTGTGTATACTTATATATATATGTATATATACATGTATTTTTTAATTAATTTTTGTTACAGATGTTTCTCCTTTTTCCCCCACTGATATCCCTGCCCCCTCCCTCCCCACCCTGTCCCCAGCTTTGTTGTCCATGTCCATTGTTCATGCATAGATGCATATAAGTTCTATGGTTTATCTCTCCCCCCACCCCTCTCTCTCTATATATATTTTTTGGTGAGGGGTACAATTCAACACAACATTTTCCATGGCCATAGATGCAAAAGTCAAATCCAAGCTGGCCTAGTTCCAAAGCCCATGATCTTAACCACTTCCCAAAGGAGAAGGAAATGAGGCTTAGAGTCTGCTGAGCAAGAGGGAACAGTGAGGTTGGTGTCAGAGCTCTCCAGGACTCTGGCTGAAGTTCAGAACAAAGTGGGGAGGCCCAGCCAATGCATTTCAGGGACAGATACCAATTAGCAACCAGTAGGCAGACAACCTCAATCTCACTCCATGAGTGTTCTCGCCTGTTAAATGGGAAAATGATGCCACTGAGGAGGGGAGATGGGCAGAAAGGATACAACAATAACCAGTAAGTCTCCATAGCATTGAGGAGGAGGGCAGGAGAGGTCAAGACCAGAGATAGAGGAGCTATCACTGCACAGAGATGAAAGGAGGAGGAGAGGACTATCTCAAATATTTTCTTAGACCACATTGTAAATGCCTAAGGTCTCAAGACATTTTCATTAAAAATCATCTCTGCCCTGGCTAGTTGGGCTCAGCAGTTAGAGCACTGGCCCATGGACCAAAGAGTCACAGGTTCGATTCCGGTCAAGTGCACGTACCTCAGTTGTGGTTTGATCCCCAGCCCTAGTTGGGGTCGTTCAGGAGGCAACCAATTGATGTGTCTCTCTCACATAGATGCTTCTCTCTCTCTCTCTCCCCCTCTCCCTCCCTCTTACTCTATCTGAAAATCAATGGAAAAATATCCTCAGGTGATGATTACAAAAAATTAAAAAAAAAAAAAAAAATCGGCTCCAAGAGGCGAGTTAAATAAAACACTATGCATCTATTATTCTTGCAGGCCTCCACTCCTGCAGCTGTGATGAGCTCACCTCCTGCCCTGATCCAGCCAAATTCCCAGCACGCCCCATCCCCTAAAGCCAAAATCTCCACTCAGCAAAGAAACCAAACTCTAAGCTTGGTCCACTCTCGGAATGATCCAGGCTAGAAAGATGCAGGCCACTCTTTGGGCGGCCGCCTTCTTCTAAAGGTGAGAGACAGGGACTGCAGAACAGGCCACTAAAGAAAGGGGAGGGGGTCCTTCCAGTGCCTTGTACCATGGGAGTACCCCTAAGTACCAACTGACTCTACCTTTGGCCTTGTCCTGCAAGCAGGATAACCGCCTAAATTTTAATAAACATTTAGGAGCCCTGCTAGTTGAAGAGATACTGCAGGCTACATGTGGACGGTCAGGGACATGATCCTGTAAACCAGGGACACTAAAGTTCCTTAGAAGCAGGAGCTGCACATGCCCTGATAACAAGAGCTATTACTTCATTCATCTGCCAGGCACTGAGCTAAGCGCTTTCCACATACCAACTCACCTAACAGTCAAAACCCCTAGGAGATAGGGCCTTATTACCTTTATTTTGCAGATGAAGAAACTGAGGCTCAGAGAAGTTCAATGACTTGACAAAAGTCACACAAACAGCAAAAGGCAGAGACTGGATAGAAATGTGGGCTTTTTTACTTCTAAGTCCTAGTATTTGCCCATTATGGTCTCCTCCCTATAAACCTGAAAACTTTCAGAGTCAGAGAAAGACATAACTCATTCCCCAAGATTCCCCCACTGTCCAGGACATGAAATCTAGGGGCTGCAGAATTCAGAGCACTGGTTAAAACCCCATCGAGCTCCTTTTGGATAAGAGAGAGAGATGGGCTAAAGACTATGGTAGAAATATAAAAAGTTTTCCCCAAAGTCAAATTCCAGCCCAGGTCCTACACTAAAAAATGGCCAGCCAGTCTCAGGCAAATCTCATCTGACTCCAATTCAACTTCCCCTTCTACTGTGGGGCTAAGCCACTGGTTCTGTATACTCCGCAATGTCACTGACAAAAGGAGAAATGTATAAAATATTGATAAGTATTGACCAAGAGAGCAGCACGTTTACCTGAGAAGGGCAGGCAAAATACTAGACTAGTCTGGAAAGTCAGTCTCCATGGAGCATGTGGGATTTGAGAGTCTCCCCTTGAATAATGGGGGGATTAAAAAATGTTTTTTTCTTTATGGATTTTTAGAGAGAGAGAAACATCAATGAGAGAGAACAGCCACTGGCTGCCTCCTGCATGCCCCCCACTGGGGATCGGGCCCACAACCTGGGCATGTGCCCTGACCGGGAATCCAACCTAGGACCTCTTAGTGCACGGGCTGGCTAATGGGGGATTTTAACCAATGGAGCTTGAGAAGGGGTTACAGGAGAAGAAATGGTATGAGCACAGGCACTGAAGCCTGAAAACAGAAGCATATTTTTAAACAGTGAGCTTCCAAGTATGGCCAGAACCTAGGCGGGTGAGGAGATGGTGAAGGTAATGGGGGATACAGCTACTGAGCTGTGCAGAGCTGTAAAAGCTTGCTGAGAAGTTTGGACTGTTCTGAATAGACCAAGGGCAACCTCAGGTGTATTGGGGGTGGGGGTGGGGTGCTCTAGGATCAAGGCAGGGCCTCAAAGCGAATCTGCACAGCATCGGGAGAAACCAAAGGGAGAGGTGGTAACACCCTATCACACTCAGGTGGTTAGAGCAGAGGCAGGGACACAAGCCAGAGGGCTGGGAATGTGGTACAGCCTGAACTTGGCAAGTGAGGTGGGCACGGCGGGGGGGCACAGGGGAAAAAGACCAGAAATGACAAAGTTTGGGACATGAGAGGAGGAGAAAAAAGAGAGCAGCTCACCGGTTGAAGCAGGAGTCAGAAGGAAGAGCTGGTTTGAGGGAAAAGCTGGCACCACAGCCTGTAGCTCAGGACAGACGAGAAAGAGACAAAGAACTGGAAAGTGATAGTTAAAGTCGTGGGAGGAGGTGAGACCGGAGAGAAAGACGGAGTGGAGCGAGAAGCAGCTGTGGCAGTGAAAGCATATTTTCAAAGTCAGGTGGCCACCAAAACAAGATGTATTTATCCCCATCATTAACAGCTGCAGGGGCCACGAGGCCTTGGGCTGGGAGGAGGGCTGATGCCCACCGCGCATCCGCTCCAGCTGGGAGCGGGGCGCAGGCGTCTCCACTTGTTGCAAACAACACCAGGACCACCGAGGCCACGCGGGGTCCCGCCCGGCCCGCCGCGCTGCTGCCCCGGGTCGACGAGGCTTTAATCATTCACCTGCTCGTCACGAATCGCAGCTCCGGGGCCACAGCTCCGGCCAAGCGACGGCAGCATCCGGAGGAGGTTGGGCGCCCCGCTTCCTTCCTGCTGCCTCAGGACCCCTACCCCGACGCACTCACCCGCTCCTCCGGAACGCGTCCCGACGCCCCCCGCACCGCTCCCGCCCAGACTCCGGGGACCCCGCTCCTCCGCCTCACAGAAAACTTTGTTTCCCGCCCCCCACACGCACACCCCCCCAGCCTTGTACCTCCTGGTAGGATGTGGAGAGCTCCTGCCGGATCATGGCACTGTCGGGAGCTAAGGCACACCAGAGCCCGCTAGAACGGGGTGCTGCAGTGGAGCGAGCACCGCTGCCGCAGCGCCCGGACCTGCCGGCTCCGCCAAATGCTACGGGCAGGGAGGGGCGGTCCCAAGACCAGGCGGGGCGGCACTCGGCGCATGCGCCTTGCTCCCGTCGCGGCTGAAACCGCGAAAGGGTTGCTGGGAAATGTAGTTCTACGCGGAGGGCGCCCCCTCAGCGACTCAGGGGCGGCGAAGCCTGCGGTTACCCGGAACTAGACATAACCCTGGCGTTAGAAGCACGTGCTCTCTTTATCTCTTACTTCCTCTCTTTGTTGAAGGGAGACGGACAGGGGATTTTAGTGGAAAGTGGAACAAGGGGGCAAGGTCAGAGGGGTTAGGAGAGCCTCATAAATAATTGCAAAAGGAAGCTTGGCCCAGTGGTTTATAACCATAATAAATATCTGGGGAGCACTTTGTATGTTAAAAGCACTTTCACGCACATAATGCCCTTGATCCTGCAAAGACCCCTGTAAGGTGGGCAGTTTTCTCCCCATTTGATAGATGAGGAAACTGAGGTACTTTGTTTCACAAAGGATGTTGAAGAGGGCAGTGATCAAGTGAAGATTACTTAGTCCAGGAACGGACTATAGAATCTACGTTCTGTCCATTATTCCTGGGCAGACGCTTGGATTCACGACCTCTAGGTTCTTGTCCTGGCTCTGCCTCTCTCCTGCAGGTCTTACGATGATCTGAGCACTCTCTTCGCCTTGGAATGCAACTGCGAACCCTGACCTTCATGGGGCTTCTGAGAACCAAAATAGATCAGGCAGAAAAAACCCAAGGTGCTGTTCTCCACAGCAGAAGTCTCGCACCCTGAACTTGGTGGAGCATTGGATGTTTGCTCTGTGGCAGGGTGGACCTGAGGACCACATCTCCCCCTCCTCCCCACTGCCTGAAAAGCTGTTCTGTGTGGTTGCCCTGGGCTGCTTAGTGTTGAAGCAGATAAAGGTTGCTTATGCCTTGGTCAATGCTGCTCTGTGTCACCGACAGCTGCAGCCCTGCCACCCACTGCACTCAGACCACTCAGGGCCTCTTCCCTCCTCAGCAGCGACCACAGTAACACCAACCACATTAGAGCACCAAGGAACTCCCAGAGCGTTAGCAGTGAAAGGCCATCACCTCTCCTGACCACCCTCCCCCGCCCCAGGCTCTCTGCTGTTACATCTATTAAATGGGACAATATATATGGCACCTAACACATTGTAGGCATTCAACAAACATTTGTTAAATTTATGACTGGAACACTTATTCCAGCCATTACATTTAATACTTGCTTGCCAAAACAAATAACAACCATTAATTGCCTTACTGTTTTAATACAAGGTTGTTGCTAGAACAAGTCACACAATCGTAGAATTCTAGAGTTGGAAGGAACCAGGGAAATCTAGTCCAGCTCTATCATTCCCCTCTACTCTTTGCTGATATGGTCAAACTGGAAAATGATGGGCTCCCATATTGAAGGAGATACTAACTCGCACAGTGTTCAGCAGGGTTTAACAAATACAATGTGTTGGGCACTGAGATACCAGATGAATAGGGTACTCCAAGGTCCTTGCTTTTGTGGCTCTTCCATGCTAGAGTGGAGAGACGAATCATGAACACATAAATAGAATTTCTGTACCTGCTGTCCCCAGGTCCTTTCCCTCCTTCAAGCACACACCATCAGGCTTTCATGCTGTCCATTCCACTGAAATAGTGATTGTCATGTTCACAAATGATCTCTGAGTTGTCAGATCAGATGGCCATCTCCCATCCTCCTCTTTCTTGATCTAGAAGCTGCTTTGGACTCAACTGACTGTCCCCCACCTCTTTGTACACTTTCCTCCTGTCGCTCACAGGACCTCCTACACTGCCACATTGCCTCCCGCCTCACTCGCTGCTCCTTTTCAGTCTCCTTTGCTGGTTTGTCACTACAGGGTGGCAATCCCCAAGCTAGGCTTTGATCCGCCTTCTACTCACTTTCTAGGGGCTAGTGAAGTGGTCTTCTCTAGTCTCATGGTTTGAAGTGCCATCTACACCCTAAAGATTCCTGTTATGGATTGACCGGTGCCAATCCCAAAAAAAACATATTGAAGTCCTAACCCTGGTACCTCAGAATGTGACTTTATTTGGAAATAGGATTGTTGCAGATGTAATTAGTTCAGATGAGATCCTATCATACTAAGTAAGGTGATTGTGTCATCTCTTATGATTCCTGTCCTTACAAAAAGATGTAACATGAGGCGAAGATAGACACAGGGAAAAGTTCCTGGGATGATGAAAGCAGATTTCAGTGATGCAGCTGTAAGCCAAGGTGGCTTTAATCATTCACCTGCTGCCTTGGCTGGTTTGGCTCATCAGTTAGAGCATTGGCCAACAGACCAACGAGTTCAATTCCGGTCAAGGAAGGGCATGTATCTTGGTTGCGGTTTGTCCCTGGCCCAGGTCGGGGTTGTGCAGGAGGCAACCAGTTGATGTGTCTCTCTCACATCTCTCTCTCTCTCTCTCTCTCTCTCTCTCTCTCTCTCCCCCCCCCCTCACCCTCCCTTCCTCCTATTCAATCTGAAGATAAATGGAAAAATATCCTTGGGTGAAGATTTAAAAAAAAAATTATTCATCTGATGGTTATAGGTTGTGGCCTGGGAGACCAGGCTCCGTCCTTGGCCAAGCAACAAGCAGAATCCCAGGGCTTGCCAGCTACCACCAGAAACTAGGAAGAGGCAACAAAACATTCTATCCAGAATATTGGAGGGAGCATGACCCTACCAACACCTTGATCTCAAACTTCTAGTTTCCAGAACTGTGAGAGAATGAATTGCTGTTACTTTAAGCAGTCTAATTTATGGTATTTTGGTATGGCAGTCCTAGGAAATGAACATAATTCTCAACTGTATACAAATGAGTAACTCCTCCAGCTCTCCCCTGAGCCCAGGTTCACTCGTCCAACTGCCTAGGCATGTTCTCCACTGGATGCCCCCTGGCAGCAGCAGAGGGTAGCTACTGAAAGAATGGACCCGGCAACCAGAGAACCTGGTTCGAAGGCTCACCTCTGTCACTTACCAGCGCTGTGATCTTGGAAACTTCATTTAATCTCTCTGTGCCTCAGTTACCTCATATGTAAAATGGGAATACAGGGAGTCCTCGCTTACTATTGTGGATAGGTTCTGTGACTTTAAGTGAAATGATAGAAATTGAAGCCAATCTTACCGTAGCTATTAATGTAAACAAAAATGAAGTTCCTATGGCATTTCAACATCATAACAGAATTATGACGGTGAATGAAATGTTATTGGAGGACCTGCCGTATTACTATTACCTATTCATAGAGTTCAGAGAGGATTAATGGAGTCAGCGGCGGGGAAGTCCTTGGAACACCGTCTGGCACATTGTAAATAGTAGGTTAGTGTTACTGGTTCTTGAAAGGTTCAAAATGGAACTGTTGATCTTCCTATCCCAAATTCCCTCCCCTCCCAGTCTTTCTCACTGCCATAAACTCCATATTCCCCTCACTTTGACCAAACTCCGTAGTCATTTTCGGTTTCTCCCTTTCTCTGACACCCCACATCTAAATCAGCATATCCTGCTGGCTCTACTTTAAACATTTATTCAATCCGACCATATTCCACCACTGCCACCATCACCACCTTGGTGATGACATCCCACCAGCATTTCTCGTGGACTTTTCCGTCACCTCCTAGCTGGTCTCTCTCCTGCCACCCTTGCACCCTAAGGTCTATTCCCAACACAGCAGGCAAGGAGAACCTGCTAAACAAAGTCAGATGATATCACTCCTGGGCTCCAGCCCCACGAAAGCCAAAGTCCTTACAGTGGCCAACATGGCCCAACAGTATCTGTCCCGCAGCCCCCACCTTTCCTATTACTCTTCTCCTCACTCCCTCAGCCTCAATGTGCTGAGCCCAAGAGCCTTTGTACTGGCTGTTCCCTGTCCCTGGAATGCTCTTATCCTGGGCATCTATATGACTCACTTCCTTCAGTTCTTTCTTTAAATATCACCTTATCAGCGATGCCTCCTCTGAGCAGCCTGTAAATCAGCAGGCTCCATTGCTAGAACATCCCCTTACCCTGCTTTGTTTTCTCCTGAGTAGGTACCACCTTCTGACTTTCACTTATTTCCAATCTCCCTTCACTAGAATATAATTTCCGTGAAGGCAGGGTTCTTATGTGTTTTATTCATTGCTGTGTCCCAGTGCCTCTGACAGTGCCTGACATTTATTGGTCCTTAGTCATTTGAATAAATAAAATAGCTTCACATAGTGACAAAAGCTCTAAAGAAAATAAAAAGTGTATATAATAGAGAGCAATAGGGCAGCTATGGGGAGGTGCTGATCTATCTCACGGGAGTCAAGAGAGGCCTCGGGATGGTAGTGACTTGTGAGCTGAGACCTGAATGACAAGAAAGGGCCAGCACACAACGACTTGCACCCCAGGTAGAAGGCATTAGTAGAGTACAAAGGCCCAGGCTGGAACCCAAGTAGAAAGCAGGGATGGGGGGCTGGAGAAGACCAATGGAAGGCCACATAGGAGACAGAGTCAGAAGGGTAGGCAGAAGAGGCTGGGTTGTGCTGATCCTGGGCATGTTTGTTCTCAGATCCAGTCCTCGCCTCAGCTCTGGGTTGCAGGGATTAGCCCTGCAGGCTGGGTTCCCCTGGGTTCAGTCAAGAGGAAGCACTGTTGGAGGTTGGAGGGGGTCAGGCAAGGGAGAAGCCATTGTTTTCTTTCCTTTGCTGTCTGCCCCAGCAGCTTCGTTCCATGGCTCCAGCCCCTGCTGCAAAGTCTTTCTGTGGATCTAGCTTTAGCCAAGTGACCCAGGTCCCCAGACTCCAACATACTACCTCTTCCCTTCCACTAGCAGGATGTTGCTAATCTTCCCGCTATTGCTAATCTCAGGGATGCTTCTCAGCCTCTTCTACCACCTGTGTAACCAACTCCCTGCAATACAGCCACTCGGTTTTACTCAGAATAGTTTCCATTTTCCTTGCAGGTCACTGACTGATTTGTTTGGAAAAATGAACCTGGGTTCCGGTAGACAAGGACAATCAGGGGGATACCTGGAGGAATCCAAGGGCATATGAGCATGCTATTAAATTATAGACTTGTACTCAGCATCTCAGGGAGCAGGAAGTTAGATTTGATCAGTAGAATTATAGGGAGTATCTTTTGGCTTGAAGGAGTTCCTAACAAACAGAACTGTAGAGAGAAAAAGAGCTCAAGCAGAGAAGTAGCACAGGGTGTGCCAGGAATGTTATCACGGAACATGATGCATCAGGAAGGGGATGCTATTCCATTCAAAGCTTTACAAGGCCTCTTCTATCCTGGAGCTCCTGTGACACAGTGTGACATAGATACTGCACGCCGCAGCTCACACGGCCTTTTGCATCCCTACCCATTTTTAGATTCAACAAAATCCTATCAAGGAGGAGGCTGTTCTGGAAATTGTGATTCAGAGGGTGGACAGACCTGTGTAGGTCGCTCTGCAGCAGAAGTCCATTCTGTTGAATAAGAATACTTGGTGCAGTCACTGAAGGGGTTGTCGCCTGCTGATTGGAGGCATACTCTGGTCCACAGGGCCTGTGCTCAAGTCTTGGCAAGGTCACCTACTGTGTGACTTTAGGTAAGGTACTTAAGGTCTCTGCACTTCAGTTTCATCATCTGTAAAGTGGGAGATAATAATAGTACTTACTTCATAGAGTTAGAGTGAGGATAACATGAATTAATACATGTAAAAGTGCTGAACTAGTGTTTGGCACACAGTAAGCGCTGCACTGGTCTCCTGTGCCAGTTCTCCCAACCACAAAATGTTGGCAGGTCCCAAGAACTCAGTCCTTGGTCCCCTCCTTCTCTCTATCCACATGCACTTCCTTGACAATCTGATTTATTCTGTGGCTTTAAATATAGTCTATATGCTAATGATTCCAAAATGTATATTTCTAGCCTAGAACTCCACACTCATGTAGCCAACTATCAATTTGATACTTCCACTTAGATATCTAAGTTTCTCTAACAGAACAGGCCTGATCTTGATCTTCTCCCTCCAAACTAGCTCCTCCTACCACCACTCCTTATATAGTAAGTGGCCTCTGCATCCTTTCTGTTGCCCAGGCTAGAACCTTCAGGGTCATCCTCGACTCCTCTCTGTTTCTCAGACCCCACGTCTCATCTGTCAGCAAATCCTATTAACCACATCTTCAAAACAAATGACAATCCACCCACTTCTCCCCACCTTCCTTGCCACCACCCTGGTCCAAGCTACCATTATCCCTTGCCTGGGTTATTGTGGTAGCTCCTGCTTCAGTCTATCCTCAACACATAACCAGAGTCATTCTGTTAACATTTTAACTAATTCCTCTGTTCCATTCACTCTGTAAAAGCAAAGGTCTCTTAAAAATAAGCTGTGAGGCCCCATGAGATCTATTCCTCCTCTGTCCCGTTTAGTCACGCCCTGACCTCCTACCCCTCTTCTCTCCATCAAGCAGGGCACCCTCCTCCAGCATATATGCACAGAACTTTCCCTTCCCAGGACTCTCCTTCCCAGGGGTCCCTCTCCCCTCCAAACCCCTCCCTTAGTTATTATTATTATTTTTTTATCCTCACCCGAGGACATTTTTCCATTTTTTGTACAGATAGAGCGGGAGGGAGAGAGAGGGAGAGAGAGAGGGAAACATCGATGTGAAAGGGACACATCGAGTGGCTGCCACCCGCACGACCAACCAGGGCCTGGGACAAACTGCAACCGAGGTACATGCCCTTAGCGGGAACCGAACCCGGGTCTCTCCGGACCGCAGGCGGACACTCCAACCGCTGAGCCAAACCGGCCAGGGCTCCCTTAGTTTTTTATACTAATACTACCTTCTCAGTGGGGCCTTCCCTGGTCAATCAATTTTATTTAATTTTAATTTCTTTTCTTTATTGATTTTTACAGAGAGAAGAAGGAGAGAGAGAGAGAAACATCGATGAGAAAGAACGCCTCCTGCATGCCCCACATTGGGGATGGGGCCCACAACCTGGGCATGTGCTCTGATAAGGAATCCAACCAGCAACCTCTTGATACATGGGTTGACACTCAACCACTGAGCCACATGGGCTAGGCTAGTCAGTCAGTTTTATTTATTTTAATTTTTTTTTATATTCTGTTCAGATAGAGTGGGTAGGAGAGAGAGAGAGAGACATCGACGTGAAAGGGACACATCGAGTAGTTGCCACCCGCACGACCCTGCCCACACGACCCAACCAGGGCCAGAGACAAACTGCAACCGAGGCACGTGCCCTTAGCGGGAACCGAACCCGGGTCCCTCTGGACTGCAGGCCGAAGCTCTAACCACTGAGCCAAACAGGCCAGGGCTAGTCAGTCAGTTTTAAATTGCAACCACCAACGCTCCCCGTTTCTTTGCACTGCTTAATTTCTTTCCCTAGTATTTGTTGCCATCTAACATACTACTTATGTATCTTACTTCTTGTCATCTCGTCCACAGATTGTCATTTCACCCACAGACTGTAAGCTCCATGTAGGCGTGGATCAGTCCTGTTCAGGGATGTATCCCCAGGGAGTTCAGAAAGTATGTGCTAAATAAATTCATGAAGGAAGACTTGCACAAATGTTAGTTATTATTACTTCAGTGCATATCTGTACTGTGCCCTACCCTTTGCAAAAATCCCCATGGGGACCCGAAATTTAAACGCAACTGGAAAGAAGAAAAAGAATCAGCCCAAAGTACAAGTGGATTAATAAAGTTGAGGTCCTAGTTCGTAAATACAGGGGTGGGCAAAAGTACGTTGACAGTTGTGAGCACGAAAAACACACAGTTTGTTCTTGTGTTATTACTTATTGCATTATTTTCCAGACAAACAACTGTAAACCTACTTTCGCCCAGCCCTGTATACCTTCCCAGGGTCTGGCATGCTGGGCTGTGTCATCTATCAAGGAACTTCTGTAACCTACGTGGCTCTTTGGCTCAACTTCCAGTCCGCAGTTTGGAGTCTGGAGCGTCGGGTTAAAGCCCTGGTGCAAGTTCCCAGCAGCGCGGTGCAGGCCAACTCCAGTCCGGGACGCGGGCCAGAGGGCCGGGGTCTGGGCAGTGGGCGGGAGGGGGCGGGGTCTGGGCAGTGGGCGGGAGGGGGCGGGGTCTGGGCCGCAGACGGAGGGAGGGGGCGGGGTCTGGGCCGTAGGGGGCGGGGTCTGGGCCGTGGGCGGGAGGGGGCGGGGTCTGGGCCGTGGGCGGGAGAGTGGGCCGGCTGCCCTGGCTGCCCCTGGCCCAGCTCGGCGCGCTCAGCATGGCGGGCCCGGCGCCTGGGCGGCGGCTGCGACCGCTGGCCGCACTGGCCCTGGTCCTGGCGCTGGCCCCGGGGCTGCCCGCAGTCGGGGCCGGGCAGACGCCGCGCCCCGCCGAGCGGGGGCCCCCGGTGCGGCTCTTCACCGAGGAGGAGCTGGCCCACTACGGCGGGGAGGAGGTACGCGGGGAGTGCGGCCGAGGGCCCCGGGGCCGTCCGTTCTCGAGGTGAGGGAGTCCCGGGCCCCAAGGCCGCCGACGCCCTGGAGGAAGCCTGGGCCCGGCGGGCGCCCCCTCCCGGAGCCCGGGCTCTGAGCTGGGCGCCAGGCCTGCCGGGCCTCCTCTCTCCGAGCCCGGATGGCCTGGAGATATCCTCAGCTGTGGGGGCGCCCTGCTTCCCCCCTTCACCAAACCAGATAGTCCCACCCGGGGCTTCCCTCTCTTTTCCCACAAGCTGCCACCTTAAGACGCAATTTGGCTGGTGGTCTATAAGGAACCTCATAATTTTAGGGGGCAGACACTTCTACCTACTCTTCGAGGGGAGTGGCAGGCGAGAGAGGGAGGGACAAAGCCTGCTCCTGGGTGAGAATTGGGGCTCGCCCAGGGATGATCCAGGCTTTCCCCGCACTTCGGTTTTCCTGCCCCTGTGTCCCAGGTTTCCTCTGCAGCTGACTCCTCAAACCTGCTGTTCATGCCGGTGCCCCTGGGGCTGGGCAGGAGGCGGGTCGAGGGGGAGATCGGAGCTGAGGGAAAGATTCCCCCCAACATACCACATCAGGCAGGAGTCTGGAGGTGTCTAGGAAACACCTCACAATCACCTGTCTATTTGGGCTGAGGCTTGGAGGTGTGGAAACTAGATGCTGCACATGAGAAGGGTCATAGGGGGGCGAGGGGGCATTTTGGTGGGGAGATCATGTACCAGAGCATTTCAGAGTTGATCAACACCAACTCCCTGCTTTTACACAGGAGGAAACTCAGGCATGCCACCAGTTAGTGGTAGAATGAGAACGGGACCAGTGTTCTCGTGTTAAAACCCTCTGGCCAGGGCTCCCTCACCGCTGAGTTAAATAGTCTTAGACTAGGTTTGAAAGGGGACCTAGAAACCTGGCCCTTAGGCAGTGACGCTAGTTTGGGCACCATTATAAAGAGAGGTTGGGTTAGAAGAAGGTTGAGTCAGTGAGAACACAGAGGTAGGGAGACTGGGATATGACAAGATGTTCAGATGGTAGAGGGTCAGGGAATCTGCAAGAAAGTTAACTTAGCAGGCCGGCTCTCCTTGAAGGGCCTGCTAGCTAGCAAGAGTGGCTGTCGGCTGGTGTCTGGATTTCCAGGTGTTCCATACTTCCCCAGCGGACAAGGGTGGCTCAGGCTGGGCTCTTTGTACGAGAAGTGTGTCTGTATTGAACCCTGCCTGGCAGAGAGGGCCTGCATGGCCAGGGCGCAGTAAAAACCTTGGCTCAAGTCTCTAATGGGCTTCCCTGGGCAGAAACATGGCACACATGTTGCTGCATTTTGTTGCTGGAAGAGTGTGCTCTGTGTGACCCTCCCAGGAGGGAGAGGGCATAAGGAAGTCTGCACATAGGTTCCTCCAGACCAGCGAATTTCAACGGGTATGCTGCAGGAATTTTTAAAACGTGCAATACCTGACTATTGAGTCAGGAGCACTGACCTCTTTTCCCATAGATTGTCAAAAGTAAAAAATGACAACAGCCCTGGCCGATTTGGCTCAGTGGTTAGAGTGTCAGCCTGTGGTCCAGAGAGACCCGGGTTTGGTTCCCGCTAAGGGCACGTACCTCAGTTGCAGTTTGTCCCTGGCTCCGGTTGGGGTTGTGTAGATGGCGGCCACTCGATGTGTCCCTTTCACATCAATGTTTCTCTCTCTCCCTCCCTCCCACTCTATCTGAACAAAAAAATGGAAAAATGTCCTCGAGTGAGGATAAAAAAAAATGACAACAGTCAACACAACAATAGCCATCTGGTATTAATGAATCAAAATTATACCTATTTTTATTGTCCTATTGGCAAAAATATATATTTTTTGGCTAGCTGCAGAAGTTTAGTAATTAGTTTGTGAATGCAGTGAGATTAAAAAGGCTGAAAATCACTGCTCTGGACTACCTGTGCCCTTTTCCTTTACGAAAGGCTGCGTATCCTTACTACATCACTGTAATAAATCCTGAGTACAACCTTCTGCTGACTTCTGAGTCCTTGGTGTGAATCTCCAAACATGGGGGTAATCTTGGGGTCCCCCGGTGCAGAACCCAAGGAAAGAGAGTTCAATGTGGAGGGTACGAACAGCAGCAGTACCAGCGACTGCAGGATGGGGACTGAGGAAAGATCTATGGCTTTTTAAGATGATGTAATTGATTGATACTTAGCTGAGGGAAGGAGAGCGGGAAGCTTGAGATGAAAACAGGGTAAGGAAAGAGGATTTGGGTATGGAACCCACTGGCAGAGAGAGGAAGGGAGGAGGGGGACAGTTGAAATTGGTTTATGTAATCATGGGGGCTGGCTAGGCAAGTCTGAAATCTGTAGGGCAGGCTGTAGGAAGGGTGGTTCTGAAACCTTGAGCTGGAGCTGATGCCACAGCCCACTGGTGAATTTCTTCCTTAGGATAATCTCAACTCTGTTCTTAGGGCCTTTCAGCTGATGTGATCAGGCCAACTAGGATTATCCAGGATAATCTTCTTTACTCAAAATCAACTGATTGTTGATGTTGATCACATCTATAAAATACCTTCATAGCAACACCTCAGTAAGTGTTTGGTTGAATAACTGGACACGTGAAACCGACCATCATAATGGCTATAATAAGAGTTCCTACTCTATATAGGTTTTTGTGAGAATGAAATGAGATGGTGATGTGCAAAGTGCTTAGCATAGGCTTGGTGTAGTCTTAGCATAGTAAGCCTGAATAAATCTTAACTGCTATTACTTTTACTAACTTATTATTAAAGATGTAAGCAAGAGGCAGTATAGCAGGTCCACAGTGCTCATGCAATTCAGAAATTGAATAAGCTCCGAAAACCCGAAGGTTTTTCTAATAAGTCATTTGACAGCAAAACCAGGTTCCAGAACCTCCTCCCTCTCACTGGCTCTGTGACGCTGGGCAAATACATAACCCCACTTGATAAGTAACCAAAGTTGAGGAACAAATAATCACAGTGAAGGAAAGGCAGTAAATCATTCCCAAGAAAAATGCAGTCTGCCAGCTGGGTAAGTCATGCCATTAAAAACAAGATGAGGGCCCTGGCCAGTGAGGCTCAGTTGGTTGGGCATCATCCCATGTACCAAAAGGTCGCTGGTTCGATTCCCAGTCAGGGCACATGCCCAGGTTTCAGACTCAATCCCATCAGGGGAAGGGGGGTGGCTTGGGGGCAGCCGATCCATGTTTCACTCTCATGGCAATGTTTTTCTCTCTCTAAAAATCAATAAAAATATATTTTTAAAAAGAGCTTAAAAACAAAAAACAAACCCAAAATGAGGCAGAGCAAACATCCACAAAGTCAACAGAAGTTCTGGGGACTATTTGTAGGAGCTGATTAGGGAATAACAACCACTACCCATTTACTGGGCTTCTGTGCTACGCCAGCTGTGCTCATGGACACGCTTTCCTGCAGCATCTGCAAGGTCAGCAGGTGTTACCCTATTTAACAGTTAGGGAAACTGAGGCCTGAGACGCTATGTGACGTTATGTACCTATGCTTCTTTGGCCTAGTTGCTTAACTTCCCTGAGCCCCAGCTTCTCTATCTGTTAAATGTGGTCGTGAAAGCACTTGACCTTAAGCGTTATGAGGTCCACCCTAGAGAAGGCCAAGCAGCATGTTCTTGGAGATTCTGAAATTCTATACACCCAGCTGTGATTCCCACCCTCACTCCAGCCTGTGGGCCACCTGACTGGTGTCCCTGTACCTGGATGGGACTCAGACAAAGGAAAGACCAGGTCCTGGGTGTCCTAGAACTGCCAGTCACCCCAACCAGAGCCCGGCTTTATGAAAGTTAGAAAATCCATACCATTCGTTATTCTCTTTTGGGAGAAAGTTAAGGTAACATTGTATACACAGGAATACAGCAAAAAAAAAAAAAAATGAAGTATAGCCCTGGCCGGTTTGGCTCAGTGGTTAGAGTGTCAGCCTATGGTCCAGAGAGACCCGGGTTCGGTTCCCACTAAGGGCACGTACCTCGGTTGCAGTTTGTCTCCGGCCTTGGTTGGTTGTGCAGGTGGCAGCCACTCGATGTGTCCCTTTCATGTCGATGTTTCTCTATCTCTCTCTCTTCCTCTCTCTCCCTCCCACTCTACCTGGACAAAAAAATGGAAAAATGTCCTTGGGTAAGGATAAAAAAATAAAAAAGAAAGTATAACATTTCTCAGAATTGTGGAAAAACAGCATTACTTATATTTTCCTAGCATGATAAATGGTTTTTTGAAGGACAAACTGGTCAACTATACAACTGATTACATTGTTCATATACTTTGGCCCAGGAATTCCACATATTGAAATAGTCCTCAAAGAAATAACTCACCAAATTAGTAACTTGTAGAAAGATATTCATAATGCTGCTATTTATAGTTCTAAGAAATTAGGAACAACCCAAACAGAAGAATACCTAAACAAACAAGTACACAGTATCACTAATATAAAATATAGCTATTTAAGTGACAGCCATTTGGTTATTTCAATACATGGAAATGCTTATATGAAGTAATATTACCTATAAGAAGCAAAACATAAAATAGATCATTTACAATGACTACATCCATCTATGTACGTTGACGAAGATGAAGGAAAATTGGGAATGGTTTAAATAATTCATCATTTAATATTCTTTTTTTTTTTTTTTTTATCCTAACCCGAGGACATTTTTCCATCCTTTGTACAGATAGAGTGGGAGGGAGAGAGAGAGAGAGAGAAACATCGACGTGAAAGGGACACATCGAGTGGCTGCCACCCGCACAACCAACCAGGGCCGGGGACAAACTGCAACCGAGGTACATGCCCTTAGCGGGAACCGAACCCGGGTCTCTCCGGACCGCAGGCTGATGCTCTAACCGCTGAGCCAAACTGGCCAGGGCTATTTAATATTCTTTTGAAGTTTTACCTACATAGAGTTGCTTCAGTTCCTGACTTTTAAAAAAGAACAGCATATCCGTGGGTGTGTTGTGACATTTCTAACTGTTCCAAGTGTGCGCGAGTGGGCACAGCGCTGCAGGTAGGGCGAGCTCTCCGAGGGCCGGCCGGGGAAGGCGCTTTGTGAGCCGCCGCCCTGTGCACAGCCCAGGCGCGAAGAGGTTTTACCAGCTGGAGATGGACAAGCTGGGCTCCTCCTCGGCTCCTCACAGTTTCTCTCCTGCTTTCTAGGAAGATCAGCCCATCTACATGGCAGTGAAGGGAGTGGTGTTTGATGTCACCTCTGGGAAGGGTAAGTGGTTGGCTTTATGCTATTTATTTCTGGGGAGCCCAACAGCCAGAGTAGGCACTGGAAGGGGCTCTGGGCAAGTCCTTTTCCCCTCGATGAAATGAACACTCTCTTTTTGTTGTTGTTAATCCTCACCTGAAAATATTTTTTTCCACTGATTTTTAGAGAGTGGAAGGGGGCGTGGGGAAGAGAGAGACACCGATTGGTTGCCTCCTGCATACTCCCTGACTGGGGCCTGGGGTTGAACCTCAACCCAGGTATGTGCCCTTGACTGGGAATGGAAACCTTGACCCTTGGGTTTGTGGCCGACGCTCTAACCATTGGACTACACCAGCCAGGGCTGGAGTGAGCAATCTTTGTCGGTGTTGCACTTCAACAGTTTTTTCCTAGTAAGTCATGCTCCTGCTCAAGAGCCTTCCATGGTTCCCTTTCCTAGTGAATCAGATTCATGTTTGATGACTTACCCTGACTGAAGGAGTGAGAGGAAAAGTGTTAGCAAGAGTTGGGATCATAGAACATTGTAGAACATTATAATGCTGTCTCATGGTTTCCCAGCTGGGACCTACAAGTGATCCCGGTTCACTGTTTGTCTGATACCAAACAAAAGATGTTGAACAGAAATAAACTAGGTCCTACTAACATTTAAGAAGGCTAAACATTTTTCTTGTTTGGATTTTAAATATATATATATATTTTTTTATCCTCACCCGAGAACATTTTTCCATTTTTTGTTCAGATAGAGCGGGAGGGAGAGAGAGGAAGAGAGAGAGAGAGAGAAACATCGATGTGAAGGGACACATCGAGTGGCTGCCACCCGCACGACCAACCAGGGCCGGGGACAAACTGCAACCGAAGTACGTGCCCTTAGCGGGAACCGAACCCGGGTCTCTCTGTACCGCAGGCCGACACTCCAACCGCTGAGCCAAACCGGCCAGGGCTGGATTTTAAATATTTTTAAATATTTTATTTTTAAAAAGTCACCTCTCAGCCCAGCATGTGTGACTTACCGCAAATTCTGCATTAGTGGAATCCACACTGATGGCTGGGGGCCTATTGGACTTCACACCCTCGCAGCCTTCCCCCTCCAAGGGCCGGAACCTCTTTTCGGATTGGGTTGGATCTCAGACCCCCCCCACCACTCCTGTGCGTGCACATCCACACTCGCAGCCTTTCCTTCCTCCCCACCTCAGAGTTTTACGGACGAGGAGCCCCCTACAATGCCTTGACCGGGAAGGACTCCACCAGAGGGGTAGCCAAGATGTCCTTGGATCCTGCAGACCTCACCCATGACACTGTGAGCCAGATTATGAGCCTTTGTCAAATGTTCCACCCACTTAGCCATGCCCCCCCCCCCCTTTTTAACCTCTGGGCAATAGCAAAGCTTCCTAACTAGCCTACCTTCCAGTCCACTGGTTTCTTGAAGTAGATATCCTGCTGTGCATTCCTACTCAGAAGCCTCCCCTGGCTCCTCAGGGTCAAGTCCCAACTCCTGTGACCTTGTAATCAAATTCAGTAAGCTTCACAATGTGGCTCCAACATGCTTTGGCAGCCCCAGCCCCTTTTACACCCTGCACCTGCCACCTCGCCTCTTACAGATTTGTTGTTAGTTTCTGAGACCACTCCCCAGGCCACTCGAAGCTCAGGGGATGATAGGTTGAGAAGCCAAGTCTCCCCCACGCTCATATTTCTGTGAAGGAGAATGCCCCCCCTCCAGTGTCTGTAATCCCAACAGGAAGGCCGGCACTCACCCGGGCTGTGCTCAGAGGAGTCAGACACTTAAGCTGCAACGTTCCAGAAACAAATGAAGACATCAAGGAGGGGAAGGGTGTATACATCTTAATGGGAGGAGTGTAGGGAGCAGGGGAATTAATCAGTGCACCCCCATCCTACCCCAGGCTGGGTGTTCTTGTGATTGAATTCCTACATCAGTCAAAGAGCAAAATAGTGAAGCCATTGCTCCCCCCACATCCCTCCCCATCCCTCTCCAGAGGGTTGTCTCTTAGAAAGTCAGCAGTCTGTTATTTGATTTGTTGAGGTATTTTTTCTCTTGCACTAGGAGTGGGTGTGGGGAGAGTAGGGCGGAGATGGCGAGAGGCTGTGCCGAGCACTATTCCCTCATCCCCACCCACCACGTTTCTTGGGTTTTTCTCCCTAAGACGGGCCTCACGGCTGAGGAGCTGAAATCCCTGGATGACGTCTTCACCAAAGTGTACAAAGCCAAGTATCCCATTGTTGGCTACACGGCACGAAGAATTCTCAACGAGGACGGCAGCCCCAACCTGGACTTCAAGCCTGAAGACCAGCCCCATTTTGACATCAAGGATGAGTTCTGAGGTTCTATCTATAGGAGCAGGTGTTTGGGAGGGTGAGGCAGGGAGATGCTGCAGGGCGAAATCTGCAAAATGGGCTGCCTGGGTCTCTGGTCACCCGGATCTGAATAAAGCAGACATTTGACCTGGAATGTAAAACACCTTTATTGTCCTTGGTCAAGTGTTCTATCCACCTGTGTATCCTGCCCACACACCAGCCAGGGTGGAAATAACAGCCTCATAAGTGTCAACATTGACCTTCTGGGTGGTTGAATTAACCGGTGACTTTTATTTCTTCTTTATATTTTTCTGTACTTGCCAAATTTCCTGTGACCATGTATGCTTTAGAAGAAGCACAAAATAAACTTATTTTCACAAAAGAAGGATTCTTCCACATACTCCCTCTCCTTGGAGCCTCATCAGCACCACTTATAAAGGGGCAGCCTTTGCTGTCCTTCATCCTTTCTCTCTTCCCTGCAGTGAGGGGGGATGGGCAGCAGGGGGCACCCACGAGCTGTGGCAGAGCCGGAGGATTAGCTGGAGAGGTGGAGAAAGGGGCAGAGAGGTATTAAAGGGTCTGGCTTTGCACCACAACCAGGAGAGAGTGATGGTGTGAACTGGCTTCACCCCCATCTGTAGCTGAAAAGTGAGGAGGGCTGGGGTCCAGTATGAGCAGAGACTGGCCTGGAGAACATCCCAAGGGTGGTGAAGGACACACGGCACATGGGACTCAGGTCAGATTTCTGGAGGAAATCCCTTTTGAGGGAGAAGTTTCCCCTTTAATGGACATTTGACAATGTCTAGATGCCATCTCTCGGCCTGCTGGGATCAGGGCAATGCAATGAAACTACAAGCACACGCTGCTTGGAGTGAGGGGGAGCTTTGCAAGGGAGCAAATGCTCCAAATCTTTGGACGGAGTCCCATTTATTTGCAGATTGGTTCCCCCAGGTTACAAGTGGATTTATGTAAATTATTTCCTTGAGATGGCATCTCTTCAAACCATACAGCCTAGCCTTGTCTCTTGCTCTTTAGGGCAGAAAGAGACATTGAAACTAAAAAATAACAAACAGACATTCTTGAGTCCTAGGACCCATTAGTCCACCCATGCAAACCTTATTTTATTCACATGCAAATGAAGCACTCAGTGCACCTGGGCTGGCCAGATAGCCCAGAATGCATTAACACCAGGTTACAAATCGTCCATCTTCCAACCCCCAGCCCCACATCTAGAGAGATTTTTACATTTTTGGTGGTCACAACTATGAAATACTGTTGGCATCTCGTGTCCAGGGATGTCGTTACACACCCTATATGCACAGGATGGCTCTCCACGACACTTATCTGGTCCAAAACGTCAGTTGTGCTGAGGTTGAGAAACCCTGCGTTACAGCCTCATCCTGGAGATTTTCTAGTAGAGATGAATTTCTTTGACATAAAACTTTGTATTTTATTAAAATAAATAGCAGCTACCCCCAAGAGAGAATTTATACATTAAGCAGCAAAATCTCCTAGGGTGACTGTTCAGAATGCTGATGCCCGGACCCCAGGTATTCTAGAACACAGCCTGTGAGCTGCGTTTTCAGTGAGCTCCCAGGAGACTGATGCAGATGGCCCCAGGAGTACTTGGAGAAAGGCCACCTTTTGCCTTACCAGTCACCTCAGGGAGGACTTTCTGAGGACCGGGTTTGACCTCTGCTCTAGTCTTCAGTGTAAGGAATGGGAGCCTAGCCCACACACAGCTGCGTGATACGGGACGTGGGTGGCCATGAGTCATCTCGAGTGTTCAGCTCACCATTTGTATTCATTCCTATGTCATTTGTTTTGGGGTAAAATGTCCCAGTGTGGACTACCTGGGCCACACAAACAACTTTGGCCTGAATTCCAAGACAAAGAATCCCGTTCGGGGAGTTCCAGGCCCATCAGTCATGGATGGCGATCAAACTCCCAGCTTCCTGAGTGGAACCCAGGGATTCACCCTTAGACTCTCTGGTCTGGACACAGTGGGTGCCTCCTGCTTCATGCCCCCTGCTGATCAGTGCCTCCTCTCTCTGCTCCCCAGGCCCACAGTTGCATGGGGCCCCCTGCCGCAGGAAGGAGAGGCTTAAAGGCAGGAAACAAGGCTGTGTAATACGGAGTCCATTCTCCATCTAAAAAATACCTTGAAGGGGTCAGCGATAGAACTGACCCTCCTCCAAAAAGCAGGGCAAAGGGGCCTGACCAGCAACTCAGGTCTTAGAGGTGGGGTCATTGGAGGCATCTGGGCCAGGTCCTGGACAGGAGACCCCCAGACTCTGAGACCTCACATCCTCAGGCACCTGCTGCAGGGAGTCCTCCTCACTACACCCGTAGCTTCCGGGAGCAAAACCGAGGTCTGAGCCCTGGCCAGTTTGGCTCAGCGGTTGGAGCATTGACCTGCGGACTGGAGAGGCCAGGTTCGGTTCCCGCTGAGGGCATGTACCTCGGTTGCAGTTTGTCCACGGCCCCAGTTGGGGTCGTGCGGGAGGCAACCACTGGATGTGTCTCTCTCACATCAATGTTTCTCTCTCTTCCCTCCTCTCCCTCTCACTCTATCTGAAGCTAAATGCAAAAATGTCCTCAGGTGAGGATAACCCTCCCCCCCCTGCTAAAACCCCCGACTGAGGTCTGAATAGAGCAACCTCACCCTCTGCATTGGCTTCCTTCAAAAGTCTGCTTCTCAAAGCTCCAGTCTCCAATAAGCATAGTCTGCCGGGACGCTGTCAGCTCATGAGATGCTTCTGCATTCCACCAAAGCTGGAAATCCCTGCTCAGAGCCCAGTCCCTGCAAGGCAGTGCGTGCCGGCCCTCCCCGGGGAGCCCTGTGATTGATTACCAGAGGTCACCTGCAGGGCCCAGATGCAGCTGGCCATGCTCTGAAGGATGTAGCTTTCAGGGCAAAAAGCCTGAAACTACACACACTTTCCTGGAGAGGCAGCTCAGGCTGTCCCACAGCCACAGGACACTGACCCATCGGGCAGAGGTTCGCCCTGCAGGCCTCTGGCCAGGGTGTCAGATGTAATCATTGCCTGGAGCATTATTTAATACCCGATGTGTTGCTCATCTTTTATGCTCCACTCCACAGCTTGTCAGCCCAGCACACATGGTGTAATCTCTCGGCTAGATTCAGCTTTCTTTCCCGGGCTCCTCTGCCAAGGGAGCTGCTCGGAGCCATTCTGGGGCATTCCCACCCCGCGAGTGCAAGGAGTTAACACCCTCAGAGCAACCTCCACCCACAGGGGCTGGGGTCACCAATCCCGCACCCTAACGTTTGTCCTGCAGGTTACTGAGAGTCCCAGGTGAGGTACCCAGCAGCAACAAGCTCCACAACACGCCCTTGAATTGGCTGAGCCAATTCCCAGTTCCTTCTTCCCAGTCCCCTAACCTGACCCCACGCATCACTTCCCAAAGGTGAGTCCTGCACTCAAGTCCCTACCCCATCTCTGCTTTTGGGGAGAACCCAGGTTAAGACACAAATTTGCTTCCTGAGTACTCTCTGTACTCGGAACCCAGCTCCCCTGAGGGCTCTCCCTCCAACAGCTCGGACTCTGGCTGCCCAGATGCCCTGAAGGGTCTCCTAGTGTCCCATGGACGATGGGGACACCCACCCCTCTCCTCCATGGCATTGCCTGCACATAAGTCTATTTTAAAAAAAAGAAATGTTTTTATTGATTTTAGAGAGAGAAGAAAAGGAGAGAGAGAGAGAGAGAAACACGGATCAGCTCCGCATGCCCCCTACCGTGGATTGAGCTGGCAACTCAGGCGTGTGCCCTGATTGGGACCTTTTGGTACACAGGACAATACCCGACCACTGAGCCACACTGGCCAGGGCCACACTGCAGTCTTGTTGCCAGAGGCCCGATGCCATGTGTGCCTGAATGGAGGTGGAGCTTGTCCCACGCCAACTCCACCTGATGGTTTGGGTCCCTGCCCAGCTGCCACTTCCCCTGGGGTTGGGCCCTACCCCACATTCCAGAAGTTAAATAACTTCAGCTCCAGAAGGTGCTTTACTCACGGTCTCCCCGGCCTTGCACATGCTGTTCCCTCTGCCTGGAATGCTCTTCCTCCTTGTCCACATCACCTGCAAAGCCTTCTCTTGGCTTAGACGTCACCTCACCAAGGCAACTTTCCTGGGCCCCTTCATGCCAGGATGGCACCCAGCACCCACTGCTCTAGTGTGACCTGTCAATGTGTCCATCTTCCCACCAGGCTGGGATGCACGTGCCCTGTTCTCAGCTGTCTCTCCACTACCTAGCACAATGCCCAGTACCTCCTGTGTTTGATAAAATGAATGAAGAGATGGATGGACTGGTGTTCCCACACCCAGGTCACCCTTCTCCTTGGTGGCCTCCATCCACCCACACTCCGGGATGTGGGTCTGAGTCCTGGACCCCTCCTGGGGCACCACAGCAGCTCCCTCCCTCCGGCCCAGGTCTCCGGCCCAGGTCTCCGGCCCAGCGCGTGGGCATTGCTTTCAGGATCACCCCTGGGCCTGCCGCACCTGAGCCTCTTCGCAGCCTTGTCATGTGGGGACACGTGCAAACAGTGAGTGGGTCCCCTGGCAACCACGACCAGCATAGATGGTCTGGGAAAGCCCTGAGGCAGAGGAAAGAACCCCCCCCCCCCCCGCCAATGGTAGCTGTTCCATCTGGGCCAGGCGGGGACCCATCTGAGCTGCCTCTCCTCTGGTGGCTCCCTGGGGACCCGCAGCTCGGAAGCCTGTTCAGACTTCACCCTTATCAGTCCTGTGTTCCCTGTGGGGTCACTGAGGTCCTCCTCTGGCTCCCTGGACAGGGCCAGGGCCTCACTTCAGGGCCATCTGCCCAAGATTCAGCCTTGCTGTCAGAGGCTTCATATCAGATGTGCCCACTGTGCCCAGCCTGTCCCAGACCTCACCTAGACTGTCTGGGTCTCTGCCCAGGTGTTCAGTGCCCCTGGCTCTGGGCTCTCCCCACCCTCCAGCCAGGGCCTTGTTCTTCCAAACCCATCCATGGCTCAGAATGGCCCCACCTGAGACCCTGCTCTTGTCACCACCATGACTCCCCTCTAGGGTGAGTAGAGGTCTGGGGGCCCCCGGGATGTGGGAGCTGGAGGTATGAGCTGTGGAGGGAGCTGGGAGGGGAGCACTGGAGGGTG